ATCTGAATTTTTTTAATTTATGGCACTTCTACACATAGACAGTATTATTTACATTAAGAGGTTTAACATAAAACATATTGATGTAAACTTACCAGTCTATTAGGTAGATATCCGGCGTCAGATTGTTTTTCTTGAAGTGCGCAAATAACCTAGGCAAATTTTCTTCAAAAAATACTTCAAATGCTGCAAAATAAGTCAACATCTACAAAAACAAAAAGTGAAAGGGCATTGCTTACAAAAACTGTACTGTTACTTAACTGAAGGACAATATGCAGACAAAACACACAATGCCGACTGCTAGCTGTGAACTGTCACGGCACACAGCATTCTATGCAGGAGGGTCCATTCATTATCTGCCATCTGTATATTATTTTGAATGTAAACACAGATTTACAAAGATTATGGCACAGCTTCTTGCTCCATAAGGCACCCCCATGTTCTAGCTGGCATTAGTTGTGAGGTTCTACAAAAGTGCCTATAGAGTAGAGCAGGAAACGGGCTTTGCAGATGGAGATAATATAATGATTTATGAGATAAATGTTGATTTATAATAAAGCCTTTCAGTGAATAAATCATTATTTCATGTGAAAACATTCATTCCACACCTACAGGATACATTTGTATGCGAGTTGAAAGGTTTCAGGAGATTATCATGCACTATAATAAGAGATAATGCCTGCCACTTAATGACTCGACCCAAATGTCTATGAATAATCCTGACATACCATCTACTGCATGTTTATTTTACATCCAATTCAGTTATCACTGTAATTGTTTTATTGTAACATTACATTGCTGTAAGGCTGTATGGGAAGGTTACGCCCACCACATTTGTAACCAGTGGACTGAAGGTCACTTTCTCTTACCCATTTTGCACTTGGTGTCTTGGTTTGCATCTGCTGTAGTATTATTGTTCTGTTGTATGGAACACAAAGAATCTTGCCCTTCTGTATCTCCATACCACCAGGTGTGGTGAGCTTCAATTCCAAGCGGCCACATATGTGCGTACAGTCAGCGCCCCTTATCTGTGCCGGGTGCACACTCATCTTTGCCTCCTGGTACTCTGACCGCACTGTTGTTGACAGATCCTGGTCACAGTCTATGATCGTAAGCTGGTGAGGTGGGCCACTGATCATGTGAACACTGTGACAGTCCATCACAGTGATCACATGACCCAAAATCCCATATAATGCCTCTAGTGTTACGAACTTTTAAAGGAGAACTATGAGGTGAGTGCTTTTCACTCACCTCATAGTTCTAGCCGACCTGTGACAATGAGACTGTCACAGGTCGGCTCAGTAGATCGGGAGGTGAGCGAACACATACCGGCATTCGCTCACCTCTCGACCCTGTCACGGCTCTAAGGAGAACTATGGGGAAAAGCCTTAACCCCATAGTTCTCCTTTAAATGGCCAGCTCTTGCCAGCTGGAAAGGGTTAATGAAGAGTACCTTGATGTAAAAAAATGTCATGACATACAAGCAAATTGCCTAATACTTACAAGGCCATGGTCCACTCTGAAAAATGCCATCTGACAGGGTTTATTTAGGAGGTTTGAGAAAGCAATAAAGGCATCAGCAGTATCTAGGTTCAGGATCAAAACAGCAGCTATAAAAGACATGCCCTGTACCTGGAACACAGGAAACAATGGAAGATACCATCAGTAAACAGAAAAACAGCATCTTCTATATACACACTACAGCCTGGGACGTGTATTATGTATGGTGGGGACTGCTGGATGTATCGCTTACCCTTGCACACTACACACAAAGGGCATCTTTCATCATAACGTGATATCTATAGGTTTTAGGTCTTACAAAACCATCCACAACTCTGCCCCTGGCTATATCTCAAACCTTGTCTCAAAGTATCTCCCTAACCATCCCCTCTGCTCTTCCAAAGATCTCCTGGTTTCCAGCTCCCTCATCAACTCCTACCATGCTCGCCTCCAGGACCTCTCTAGAGTCTCTCCCATCCTATGGAACCCTTTACCCCAACCTGTCCGACTATCTCCTACTCTGACTGCCTTTAGGCGATCCCTTAAGACCCATCTCTTCAGGGAATCCTATCCCACCTCAACTTAACTACTCAACCATCATGTTCTCAAACAATTCATCCCCACACACTCCCTTTTAGATTGTAAGCCCTCACGGACAGGGCCCTCCTTACCACCTTGTCTGGAACTGTATTGTAATGTCTTCCTTATATTGTAAAGCGCTGTGCAAACTGTTGGCGCTATATAAATCCTGTATAATAATAATAATAATATAATAATAATAAGGTCACTTGTATTCTCTATACAAAAAACTTACATAACCAACATCGGGTCTGTAACAAGTGTAGGCTCCTAAAATACTGTGCAGCATGTCATGGTAAGGGCCACCCTGAAACAGGACAAACAAGTAAAACAATTAACATTCTAGAAATTGGACAATATGCTACAAACAGGCTCTTTAAAGTGGAATTAAACTAGACTGGTCCCCTTGGCCTCTTCTCCACCAGGCTCCAGCGGACTGAGAACCCGTGTCATCATCATGTCTAATGTAAGTCTATTAGACGTGAGGGTGCTGAGGTACATAGGCAGCAGTAGTTGTATAAAATCTTTACTTTTCCTGATTTTTATATATTCCTGAACTTGCCTTTAAGAAGCAGCAAAAATTTTCTAATTTTTCAGACAGTAAAACAGAACAATGGAGACAATCACATTTAGAAAACATAAAAGAAATACTATAATAGTGTTAGTTTATAATGTAGTAATAGTGTGAAGTACCTTCTGGAATATACACAGATTTGGGAACGTCCGAGAAATATCTAGTTTTATGAGTTCCAGGCTGGCTTCGCGGTCAGCGGCAGACAAACCGGTGTCTATACAAACAAGATGTGATCAAAGGGTTAAATTCTTCCATCATTGTTAAAAGTGTATCTGTTTAAAAAAATATTCTCTCTTTACATAAAGAAGCCAAAATAATTCCTGTATCAGGAAGCAGCAGCAGAAAGCCATGTGAAGACAGAAGCCTATTAGACAATCAAAGACTAACTAGGTGGACAGAACACATATTGGTTACCTTCATTCTCCACTTCAGAGCCCCCCATGCTCAGGAATTTCCATCGGTCTTTGGCCCGGGATAAGCAAATGTCATAAAGCTCTGGAAAATACACATGAACACACCATTGCTTTTCACAAGGCTCTGAAATACTTTGCACAATAGTAAGGAATATGACAGAGAATTTCCCACCTAAACTACAACCTGTCAACCACCATTGAAAGTGGACCCATGCTTGAAAAGTGAAAGGAAACCTGTACCGAGAAACATAAGGAGGCTGACCTCTCCTGAAAATGCTAGCCGTTTGGTCGTCATGCTGATCCTCTCACAATGATCTGAGACAATGAACCAGAACAAGCATGCAAATAAGGTATACGCTGATGCCTGCTTGTTCTCTGATCATACTGAAGCCAGGGGACAACCAAGTAACTAGCATATTGAGAAGGACATCAGCAATGACGGCCTATACAATACAATTCTCCCAGTAAGGGGTCCTTTAAATTAAAGCAATGTTAAATGTCTTACTAGTTTAGATAGATAAAAAGCAATAAAATGCCCTTTTCTGGACAAAATGTTGCTTCAGGTTTCCTGCTTTTCTGGTCACATGGCCATAAGGATAGGCCTTTGGTCACATGATCGCTTCTGAAGTGGACCATGCAATCTGCATTCTGATTTTCCCTTTCAAGATAGATGGTGTGGCAAATGTCCAGACTTTAGTGAAGAATTTGCTGAAAAAATGCAGCATTTTCTCCAGGCAAGCAAAGTCATTCAGCCACATGGTCTGTAGTGGTCCAGTAAGTAGGTTTTTGGGTAAACTATTTGAATAAATTGTATCTAAACCCATAAAAATGTTTATATATTCTTAGATGTGGTGGCTGTAATTTTTTCCCCCCATCATTGTCACCTGGTGATACTGCAAATCACACACTTCCTGTCCCTCGGTGGCTATGCTCAATCCACCACTTAGAGCTTGTTCACACCAAATGCGTTCAGTTCCAGAGCATGTCAAAAAAACTGCAGCAAGCCCTATTTTTCCTGCTCTGGAACACTCTGCAATGCATGCAAACGCATCAAAAATGCATGCAAAGGCCCTGGAACGCACTGGGGCCTTGTTCACACCAAATGCAGAGCAGATCCGGTCAGGGTTCTGCACACGCACGCTAGTCTTTTAGATGCGTTTTTGGCTAAAAAAAATAAATAATAATTTTTAAGTTTAACATGGGCTTTCAGTGGGTTCCAGGCGTTTTTGATGCGTTTGCAGATCCAGAGCAGGTAAAATAGGGCCTGCTGCAGTTTTTTTACCTGCTCTGGAAATGAACGCTGCGGTGTGAACTGGAGCTCAAAATACCATAGGAATACATTGGACGCAGTTTTGATCCGGTCTGCACCTGCTCTGCATCTGCTCCGCGCTTGGCGTGAACAAGCCCTAAAAGTCCATTTTAGGCCCCCCCAAAAAACTTTTTTTTTCTATTTTTACAAAAACAGCCCGAAAACGCGGCAAAAACACACTGCACGTGCAGAAACTCATGCAGATCTGGTCTGCATTTGGTGTGAACAAGTCCTGAATCTAAGGGGACAGCCATGGTTGTCACCCAGGCTTGACTTCAAACATGTCTGCCTTGTTTATCTACATTACATGGGATTTCAGACTGTTGTAAGTAAAGAATGTCAGTCCTCCTAGGAAGCTGGCCTTCTAGGAAGCTGTTTTCTCTACATACATTACTGTAATACGATGCCCTACCCAAATAATCCATTTAACGAATAACCAGACAAACTCTTCTACTACAAAGTTCATCGGAAACCAAAAGGAGATTGTAATGTGTGTAGTTAGCTATACTCCATGTTTTTCATCTTTTTAAGCCATGATATTATCGTGATTTTAAAGTATAAAGAGAAACTTCAATCAGGATAACTAAAAAAAAAAAACCTAGGTAATATAAGGCTATGTGCGTCTTATAAGCTGCTCAGACAGATAATGACACATCTGATGAGGAGGTAGGAAGCTACTGCGGTACCCATGGTGCCTTGGGAATCCTTCATCGCGTGTTACACAACTATTTGCCAAACATAGTTAAAAAAATGATAAAACAACAGTTCCAAAAATATACCCTAAACCCCTAAAAGAAAACGAAACCCTAAACCATTATGGTCTCCTCTAAGAGCTAGGCAGTCATGAAGGATTTAGACTTACCATGGGTGATGTTTAACTCATTGCCAATTGCCAGACTCCAGACTTTCCCTCTCACACTGGGTGGTATTCCCTGCCACCACATTTCCCGAACTTTCCGGGAAGTGCACCTGGTGGAAAGAACAAAGTGAATGAGGTTTAAACAACATTTGCCTTTCATTTTTTTGTGTGGATCAGATTTTCCAACACTGTATTGCTCTATGTTAGAAATGACTTGAGCCTTGTGTGTGTGTAATTTTCAGAGATGCATGCACACATGATCATTGGTAAGCCTCCTGTCTGGGATCTTCCATGCTTATTTAACCACTTCACAACTGCTGGGTGTCTTAAAATGGCGCTGCAAGAGGCGCTCTTTGCCTTAGTATCATTTTACGCCAGAGAGTGGTTTGGTTGGCTGTGGTCTGTATGGGGGCCCAGAGAGAGAGTCGGGTGCTGGAACTCTGACCACCAGGCCCAGCACGCACGGTGTATATGTAGCAAATGACCAGTATGTCTCTTAAAACATAATTAGGATTTCCAGTGGCTTTGCTGGGATAGCTGAAAGAAGGTCGGGAGCACATTAAATAAAAAGGTGACCATCCTCCCCCAGCAAGGTATGTATGTATTAGTTACTTTGAATAGCAATAGTGCTTTTTGTGCAAAATGTTTGCAATTGCAGACATATCAAAACGATGTTGTTGTTCCTATTGAACAGGTTTACGTTTTGGCTAATGGTTTCTAAAAATTAGTTCTTTGCACTTGCGAACCTCAACATAAGATTGGAGAGAAAAAAGGAATCCTAATACCGTACAAGGCAATTACATTCTGCTTTAAAGAAAGTCTGTGCTGACAGCTGCCATTGCTGATCTCCTTTTGAAAATGTTTGCTGCATGGCAACTGCAGTACTGCCACATGTATACGTACAGCTGGAAGGAAGGGGTTACTTAACAGGTAAAAATAGAAGCAAAGCTAAAGGAATGTAAGAAATAATGGATGAAGGTGGTGTCAGTTCCAGTGTAGTAACAAGGGATTTATTCGATGCCCATTCCATGGATTCACGCTGCCGTCTACTCTGCTTTGTGCAGGCTCCCCTATCAGCCTCGTGCTGTTAAAAGGCAAATCAGTGGCTGTCCTAAGTGCCAGGCACAAACTTTTCAGGGGACTACTATAACACAAAACTTAAGTAACAGTTCTAAGTCTTGTCACATCCAAGAGGCGGTGCTCAGCAGCAGCCTCCTGCCTGTTGGATGTCATGTGCAAAGGAGGCCTTGACTGGGAGATTACACGTATAAAATAAGTTAAATGGACATGTCATCTTATAGGAAGATTTTTGCTGAATTTTATATAGTGTAGGGGCAGGGTCTCGCTAAGTGTAACACTTGTATCTAAAATGCCTTACAAACAATACAGATTCCCTTTAATCACCCCCAACAAAAGCAAATCTTCTCACGTGGTTTCCCAGTTGGGTAGAATTTCAGTGTTCCATGTTAAAGCGGCATTTCCAATACTCTCTTCCAGCTTGCATCGCTCTTCTAGTTGTTTCTTCCTCCTCTGGGCCTCTTTAAATTCTGAAAACACAGAGGATAATTAAAAATGTAGCACGCGTGTAACAGTACTCCGCAGGCTGGCATACCCGGGCTTGAAAGGAAACCTAGAAACTGGAAGATGTTAAATAGCTCAGATGAAAGAGTATTTGTTTGACGCTATGGGAAAAGCAGAATTCATCTGTGACTGGCTCATTATAAATGAGAAATTTGGCAGATATAAAAGCACATCTTGGCACAGAGAGAAATATCTTCATACTGCTACAACCTCAAATGTCCCTCAGAAAATGTCCGTACCACTTCATATCAACAAGAAACATCAATGCTTTATTAGTAAACTGGTAAGACTGTATTGGTATAGAAATACCTCTACATGAATAACATAAAAGAAATAGATAAAAGCAAGCCCACCAAGCATGGGGTATAAAGAAAGAAAAAAGGTATAAAAGGGAAGCTATATGAATTCGACCTCTTTATTAAGCAAACGATAAATAAAATGGACTAACTCTGTACCCTCAAACATCACAGTGTGAACATTAAAATGAGCTGACAACGCTGTCATACCACACACACACACACACACACACACACACACACTCCTGTCCCACACATCCATCTCTACAACTCAGTACCACATAAGAAATGGTACAATAAAGAATACCTTCTTCGCACCAATAACATAAAAAATGGTTGTACTACTCGCGTGTAATAATACAATAATATCTAGTAGTTCCTTCCCATAGACATGTATCATCTGCAATAGATCAGCAGTACAAGCTCTGTCAGTACATCTGACATTTATGGCACACGTTCATGTTAGAGATCACATCAACGTGGGATGAACAGCCTGAGCGAGTTAAGTCCTTAGTAAGAAGGAATGGAAACATTATAATATATACAGTGTGGGGGGGGGGGCAATGTATAAAAGTAAGTGGATGCACGCAGCAAGGCTTCACTAATGTGACTAATAACAAAGTAGCTGTCACGCCTAAAGCTGCTATGCGACACGGGCGACATTGTTGTAGATGTCATGGCATCATACTCACACAACCCATGGACAGACAACACCGTTCTGAATGGGCAACTCAGCAGTGCCGCTACCTCCCAAAGCGATCTTTGAACACAGTTGGAAGCCATGTTCTGGCCATCTGTAATGAACTCATATGGCTCCCTCACATAGACATACAACTAAACATTCTAGTAATCACCGATAAGAATTCTTAAAACCCAACTGAAGTCTCATACCCTTTTTTTTTATAACCCTGTCATGTTACTTTCTGATTCTTTAAACTAATGTTTTGCTTTCAAGTTCCTTTATCTCTTAGAGGCTGTGTAGTTCCTATGTGTTCCTGCTCTCCCACTGCAGTGCTCTAAGCTGGCATAGATGAGTAATGGCCACACCCCTCATCACTGGTGTTCTAACACAGACTTGTACTGAGATGTAAAAAAATGAGACTGTCTAACCTTTTCTATTATAGAGATTATAGAGTACACTAGGCAGCATGGTCAAACATGGTGCCTTTTGGACTGCACAGTCATATTTAGAACCACTGCACAACAACTGCTGTAACAAGAAACCGGAGGCGGTGATTACAAGGGATATGTGACTCAATCGCTATTTATGTGACTTTAATTAAGGTTTCAGCTAATGACATTTACATTGACAAAAACTGTAAAAAGCCAATAAAATGGCCGCTATTAACCAGGATCTGTGTAGAAGTCCTTAATAGAATGTGAGCAACGACCTCTCTCCTCTTTGTGGGTATGAATAATGTTAATGTCAGGAAGCACTGGTAATTGTGCTGTATATCAATTGCAACAAGGAAGCAGTCACTGACAGGCAGCACTAATAAATACAAACTACATTACACCAGCATTCAATCTGCCGTGTCCAAACATACGGGGAAATTAGTGCTTCTCTGTAATCGCCTGTAGCATCCAGGAAGCGCACCCAGCTAGACTCCTTCTTCCATGTATGAATAAAACATGGGCAGCTATACAAATGTCTGTAATGCTTTATACTGGCCGGAAGACTCCGCAAATTAATTGCGTGTGAACAGGAACCGCGCACAATGTCAGGCTGCAGGTTCAGTGTTGGAAAGTTAATATATAAAATTGCCTGCGGAGTAGCACTTAGCCCCGGATTCTTAAAATTCTATTTATTCCACCTTCAGCTAGATGTCCTTGTTTAGCATGGACAGTATGAAAATAATTAACTTTGTCTTCACACCAAACCTCATGATAAAATGTTTAACGAGTCCCAATAAATGAACTGCAGCATGTGCCCAAATAAAACAAACACGCCCAAAACAAAAAACTAACACACCACTTGTTAGGTATACAGGGGTCGTCTTGACACTGCATGGGGTATCGTCAGGACTGGATGCAGACACTTTGGTCAGAGTATTTAGTGGCGAGTTGCTTCACTTCTAGCTGCCGCTATTCCCATAAGGCAAGTACGCCTACTGGTACTCTGATGCCCCCAGGTCTTAGACTATATACTCTGGCTATAAATGTTGCAGGCGTCCCCCAGTGGCAGAGCGGTAGTACTGACTGGTGATGAGGTACAAGACAAACAGAAAGCAAGATAGAAGACAGGAAAAAGGATTGCAGATACAAGATAGGATTAGGATCAAGACCAATACAGGATTGAAGATACCAGGCAGGTACAAGATTCAAGATACACAGGAGGTACAGGATTCACAACACAAGGCAGGATTCAAGATACAGGCAAGATTAGGATTCAAGATCAAGACAGGTACTGGTAGAAGATTAAAGAACATCACAAGTACTGGATACAGGCTTGTTGACCAAACTAAACAGGACTGTCACAAGCCCACAGTCCTAGGACTAGTGATGCTAAATATAGTGCCTCTAACCAATCCCAAGGCTGAGGGGTGTGTGGCCAGGCTCATAAGCCCACAGCTGATGAAGAGGTGCATGGCCAGGCTCATTAGCCCACAGCTGACAAGATGACTGGAATAGGTGAAGTGGCAACAAGGTACCACCAGAAGGAGCTGGGACGTTGCGACAGGCATAGGAGTATTAGACATGTTCCGACAGGTATAAATAATTGCAAATGAAAACATTGGGAATCCTACACAAAATGTTGAACAGACCCTATCAGTTTTGAAATGCTTACATGCATTTTAAGTGGTCAGCTCTACAAATGTCATACTTATGCATGCTACTTGGCAAGCTGTGCACCCAGAACAAGTATGAAACTAGAGAACTTTCAAGTGAAAGGAGTAGTAGAAGTAAGATGGTTCTGGAGCTTACACCTTTAAAAAAAAAAACAAGTCAACAGTAAAATATCTGCTATATTTCTATCCCGACAGGGTTAATTTAAAAACCGTATAGTGACTCTGTGTTTACCCTGACAGCACCTGTGCTCTGGGACTTCGCAAACCATACTGGTAGTTCAATTAGCTTCTGCATAGACGTAACCCTTACAATTGTGCATGTATTCCTCTGTCATGGGCACTACACTGTCATGGCTTTAAGGGCTGATTAAATGGTCTTTACCACCCCAAGAAACAAACAAAGGTAATCAGTAAAATGCTTTTTCAGGGAGCAGTTTCATTGGGTCAGGAAGGTAAACACAGTCTGAAGTTGTAACCCCTTTCTCACCCTACTAAAAAAAGGTTTTCCTCATTTGTCTCCATTAGAGAGATTTCCCATCACTTCCTGAGAGGAAACCAGGGAAATCCCCCCAACAGGGACAAAAGGAGAGTACTAAAAACATAATACATGCTCTACTTCCTCTCTACTCTAGCCAAGACAAACAGTTTTTGCTTCTCATTTCCTTGGAGTGTAGATCAGTGGCAATTTACCTCGTCTTTTGGCCTGGGCCACCATCTCCTCATACTCCTGACGGTGCTTCTGGGCTTCCTCTGCTGGCTTGGCTGGAAGATTTCTGCGAAACGTCAGAACAATGATCTGTTAGCCTACGTATGTCTCAACATACAGACACGCAATTATGTTCATACCAACCGGATAACGATTCTGCGCAATCATATTAAAGTGACAGAACTGCCAAAGAGTGAAGGCTAGAAACCCAACGCTTTCCTAAATGGCATAAAACTCAGATCACTAGGACTAAGCACGTAAAACCGAGTAGAACAAAGTAATAACAGGTTACTAGAATATTGATATTACCATGTTTTATTTGTGTTTCCCCGAAAATAAGACATACCCCGAAAATAAGACCTAGTTCGGTGGTAGGTCTTATATTACAGAAATCCGCTAGGTCTTACTTTCGGGGTAGCTGCACATAAACTGAATTTTAAATGTAAAGACCGGCCGCAGCTCCCGCCCCGCCCACACGCCCGCCCACACGCCAGCCTGCCGTTCACTCCCCCTGCAGATATAGGATGAGTCGTGCTCCAGCAGTGTCCCCCCTGAACTGATGTCCCCAACATCCTGCAACTTGGCAAATTGACAAATGTTAACCAACCACTGCAATGTACAGTGTTCTAAACAAACAAATCTATCTGCTCAGGTACAGGCATTTCTTCCTCATCATAAAACCCAGTCACATATAACAATACATCTCAGCAAGCCAATCTACGTCTACTTCATAAATCCATCCAAAATTTACAACACCATATCCTTTAACAGGAATTTAAATTCCAGTTTGCAGAGCTGCAGTTGGCGATGGGAGACTAATGCGTTAAAACAATGTAATGTTCAAATGCAAGGCAGCCATGTGTAAATGTTTGTCATACAGTATACCATGTCTTTATGCTGTAGCAAGGTGTGCTTCATTTATCCTGAAGGAAAAAAGCCTCAATCTGCGTTGCCTATGACCACTACATTTCCCCTTTCTTTCTTCCATACTACAGGGAAAGAGTGAAAGGGACAATCTAATTGGCTGCCTTACGCAGTGCAGAAAGACAGGATTTCTCAACAAGGGTTCCTCCAGAGGTTTCTAGGGGCTCCTTCAGCAGTGAGCAATCACAGACTGATCCCCCACCTACAATGATTACCAATGCAAGGCGGCAATTTCCCAATGACATGCAATGTAGGGAGTCACTTTTACACTGATCACCAGTGCAGGGGGGATTTTCTCCACTGACCACCAATGAAAATAGACATTTCTCCACTGACCACTAATGTAAGGAGACAACTTTCCACTGACTAGTGAAAGGAAATGCTACAACTTTCTCAGTTTTTGTTCCTTTTCTGGCCATTCTTATTAATTTTCACTAAACTCAGAACTCATCTTAAAAATGCATTCATGTACCTTGACTATTAACACAAATGTAGGCTCAAAAACTAAAACCAGCACACGATGATCTTCCAAAGAAATTCAAACTTCATTCCCCATGCATCTATACAAAGAACAACCGCTGACGCGTTTCTGCCTTACTCGGCCTTAGTCATAGCTCTAATGAGCTTTGTATAAATGCTTGTGGAATAAAGTTTGAGTTTCTTTGGAAGATCATCGTGTGCTGGTTTTACAGTTATTGAGCCCATCACTCCAAAAGAGAGTCATCCGAGTGTGGATTGCGGGGACGCATGATAGTGGTGAGCTGTGCACTTTGTGTTTTCAGTTAACAAAAATGTATCTTATTTGTGTATCACTGAGCTGTAGATCCTCAAATCATCTCTGAATTGGTGCTGACACTGTCCTTCCTTCTGGAGGGGGGCTACTTCTGTTCCCCATGGTCCCTGTGTGTGTTGTAAAGTAGCCACCGCTCCAAGCTTGCTCCTGTGATGGACTACAATCCCATACAAATCAGAAAACTAAACATGAGATTGTAGTCCATCACAGGAGATAGCTTGGAGCGCCGGCTACTTTACCACACACACACAGGGACCATGGGGAACAAAATGTAGCCCCCCTCCAGAAGGAAGGATAGCTGAGTGATACACAAATAAGATACATTTTTGTTACCAGATAAGATACTTGAATGCATTTTTACGATTTAACTCCATAGTTTAGTGTCACTTTAACAACCACCAATCCCAGGTTTATCTGGCCCAGTGCTTTTTCTGCATTGAAATCCCAACCAGCGTTGTCAGCCCTGGCTGCGGGACTACAGAACTCTGCCTATCCTCCACATCTATCTGTTCCTCTCCCCATGCACACTGATTTCTTTCCCAACAAAACAATTCTTTTGCCTTGGCTCCCGAAAGTCTGCCAATACACGGAGTGTAGAGAAAGGGCTGTTGGGTTAAGTAGTTCTAGATGTACGTCTATATCAATAGGTACTGACCTCCCAGGAGCTGCCCCTGCAAGTATTTTACAAGATTGGTGATATAGGGAGTAATCGAAGTTTCTCACTACAGGAGTTTGGGGGTAAATATGGGTAATGCGTGGACAAACACTTGGGGCTGACCCAATTCTTCTCCCCAGCGTATAGCTGGGTGAAAACCGGTCGCACAGCACTAACGCCATGGAGCATAGGAATGTCCTATGCTCCTTAGCACCATTTACTGATGGTAGTGTCATGGAACGGCATTATAAAGGTTTTAATGTGTTTACAAAATGTGTGATAACATGCACCTCTGCGCACTCATTATCACTCCCACCAACTTAAAAAGTTATCACTCTACTGCCCAGCACATAGCTGCGAGGAAGAGCTATGAATCAGTCCCTTTAGGTTGGTGGGAGTGATAATTAGTAAGCAGAAGAGATCGTTATCACACATTTTCCAAACACATTAAAACCAATTCTACCATCCCCAACGTCCATCTTCATTTACCACTATTGACATGAACAACGGTTACACAAAAAGAGAAGATCATAAGACTCACGCTGGCCGATCTTCCAGTATTAAAGCTGTAGTGGACAGTGGCTCAAACACCAAGCTTTTCCTCACATTCTGCTTTGGAGAAGGGGACTTCGGAGCTCGTCCAACTCTATCTTCATATTCCTGGTAAGCAGATAGACAAACTGTGAGTGTAAGTATTGCTGCATGATGGGAGCATGTTTCAGGCAGTAACGCAAAACAAAGGCTCATAAAACTTATAACAAATGGCAAAATCATAAAACAAAAAACATTTTTAGTACATATCGAACATTTATCCCTTTAAAGATCCTGCAAGTACAAACAAAAATACTTGCTGCTCTGCCAGAAATGCTCTTAGCTCCTGAGTCCCCTTGTGGGCTGACAACACGCAGCATTGCACAGTGGTGTCAGCACTGCACAGTTCTCCTTTGCTAAACTACCTAAACCCAGCTCGACCCTATTCGCCATACATAACAAAGAGACTAATTATTCTATAGTGCTAACTTAAC